TTTAAGGCAACAGGTTCACAACTATCATCTTATCCTGGTGAATTAGTCCTTTTATCTTTATAATGATCTTCTCTATCTCTACTTAGGCTTTGTTTGCTTAAAAGTGTTTATTTTGTGGGACATTAAATATGGCTTTGCCAGCTTTAACTAGGCACTTCCTGGTGCATCATTTTCCACATGCTTTCTTTCAGTGTGTCTTTTATAATACAGACTGGACTTAAAAAAATTCTACTCAGTAAAAGAACCTCTGTCTATAAACTTCTGAGTTTAATTTACTTTGGTGTGATTGCTCAACTTATTTAAAAGTACTTACATTTATTTTTGTGCATTTTTTTTTTTGGTACCTAGGATTGTACACAAGGCGAATAACCACTGAGCCATATCCTCAGTTTTTTTTATGTTTTATTTTGAGACAGGGTCTCACTAAGTTCCTCAGGGCCTCCCTAAGTTGCTGAGGCTGGCTTTGAACTTATGACTATGTGCCACCACGCCCAGCTTGTGCATTCCATTTACCACACCTTTTCTGGCTTTGTTTCCATAATTCACCCTGCACCCATCCCAGGGGTGAAGTTATCTGTTGTGCCCAACCACCCCACCCCCACCCCCACTGGTGTATGACTACAGTTGACTCTAGAAATACAGACTATTTCTTTTTGTCGTTTTGACCAGTAATTAAAAACCTTACTAAGAATTAAACAAGGCTGGTTTCTTTCATTGTTTCCATACAGTCTATTTCCATTCTTTTAGTCTTCAATTTTTTCCCTATGATTATGAAAAATTTTAAACACACTAAAATCTTGAAAGAATTGTGCAGAGAATACTTTGTACCCATCACATAGAGTTACCTTCAATTGTTATCATATACACTCGATTGGAGGTAAAAAAAAAAAAAAATTCATCAGCATCTCTCACTTTCTCCAATACAATAAGGTCTACACAGACTTTTACTTTGATAAACGTTTTCCACCATGTCTTTAAGAGGCCTGAAATTAGCCATTATTATAATGTTTTCTTGCTGCTGTTTCAAGACTTAATTCTTTATATCTATCTTCTTCTTTTTTTTTTTTTTATCAATTTCTTTGATCAACAATGCTTCTTGCATCAACTCTCCCCACCTCTCTAGAAACACTTCCCAGTAGTCCCCTAGCCTGCACTGCAACTTCCAGCATCCTCAAGAGAACATCCTGCATTTAAAACACAGCAAAAAGGTCAGACTTCACTGAAATCAGGGCCAAGTCCTGGCTCTCCCAATAACCATGTATATTTGCCACATAAACTGTGAACTTCAATACAGCAAATTACCAGCTCACGGTACCTGCCTGTACCTTCCCTATACCTGGCATGATGTGCACGCGTGCACGCGCGCGCGCTCACACACACACACACACACACACACACACACACACAAGGCCTCAGTGGGTTAAAAACACATGCCATGTTGTCTGCCAGCATTTTCTGAACACAGAAAAGCATTAAATTAATATATGATTATTAGATTGTGTGTTGTATTTACTGTATGCTCCAATCAAGTGTCCCTTTCTGGGCCTCTTTGCAGGTGACCTAAGCAAAACTGTCATGTAGATAAAGCATATCAGACTCAATTTGGGAGACCTGGCTTTTTTCTGGCTTCCAGCTCTTGACAGTTTTGTGCTTTCTCTCTCTCCCTCTGTCTCCCTCTCTCTCCATCTCTCTTTCTCTCTGTATCTCTTCTATTTCCCCCATCCATAGGGAGAGAATACATTAAATAATCCTAAAATCCCTGTAAACTCTAAGTCTTTTTGACTGATTTTCATTTTTCTAAATGAGTATCTTCACTAAAGTGGTACCGAGCCAAAAAAAAATTGAAGAAAAATGAGAAATTATATCCCATCTATGTATGATATATCAAAGAATACAAGTGCATTCTACAGTCATATATAACTAATTAAAACAAATAAAAAATTTAAAAAATATTGAAGAGTGGAGAAAACTGAAACAGATTTTCATAAAAATATCCATATTATGCTGACAATGAACAAAAAGGCTAAGTAATTTTTTTAAAGAGAGAGAGAGAAAAAGAGAGAGAATTTTTTTTTAATATTTATTTTTTAGTTTTCGGTGGACACAACATCTTTATTTCATTTTTATGTGGTGCTGAGGATCAAACCCAGCGCCCCGCGCATGCCAGGCAAGCCTGTTACCGCTTGAGCCACATCCCTAGCACAATAATTTTTTAAAAACTTAAAAAGAAATATACTTGGTAAACATACCCCTATATGCCTCATTCACAAACTATGTGACTAAAATTTCTGGTGGCTGTATCTCTAATTTGGTCCTGTCACAAGTCCAAACTTCTTATTATATTTTTAAACTGTGAATTGTCCTGCTAGATAGCACACATGAAGGCTAGGTGGAGACAGGCATGAAGACTGTGTAACAGCTTGGCCAGGGGACAGCCCAGGTGAAAACAGGAGCCAACACAAATCAGGAAATTGTGACCTCACAGGTTTGTTCTGATGGAGAGGGGACTGACCTCCTCAGGAAGTTCTACCCGCACAGGATGAGCAAGAACATGCACAATTAAATACCTACATTAAATGGACATGCTTCATTACATAGACCAGATTTGGTCTAATTAAAAAGTAAATCAAATTTGTGGGGAAAAATAATTGTTACCAGACATGACAAGCTTATTTTAATTTAGAATCAGAGTAAGGGTACACATACCATTAGAGGCAGGAGCTTCATTTCATAATCTTAGGGGGAAAAATCGGACATAACTGCGCTCTCAGATTATGAAGAGAAGCCTACTTTTACTGGAGTGCAAGTATGCAGCATAAATAGGACTACAAACTGCAGCAGACACTGTTCAGACCAATCCCGACACCCTGAGATTAGGAGATTGGTCAGTAGTTTCTGTACACGTGGTTTGCAGCACAGCGACAATCACATGTCTTGGTTGGTACAACAAAGACACCAGGAAAAAGACTGAAGGAGTTTTTGATCACATTTTTCACATCTACCATGTGAAACACTGCTTTCTTCATTCATAAGGGAGTGAGTGCTAAGAAAGAGTTGCTCCAGTGCACATGTGAAATGACTATTGGGCATCACCCAAGCACCTAACAAATGGCTGTGGTTAGATCTCAGTTCTACCAGGGCCACGTGTTTACAGGAATGAAGTCCTGGAACTAAGGAAAGCTTTGATGTACATTTTTCTGGCTTATCAGCCTTCCCTTGGTTTTCTCCCATTCTTCTTCAGTCTCTCTAGAAACAGAAGTAAAATGTCATTTCCTCCAAGGCCTAACTAGTTCGGGCTGTAATCCTAAGACTTATTGACAATGGATGTATCTGAGGAACCAGCTGTGAGGTCCTGTAGAAATGTGAAAACCAGTAATGGAACATCTGCACACAGCTTTCAGTATGGTGTCTGTGGTGTCGCAGGACAGAGGGGAAGGTTTCCTGAGGCTCTTGCAGACAGCCAGACCAGTTGTGAAAAATGGGCCCTGAGGAATACTTAGCTTGATGACTCTTGGGGAACACAGAACAGAGTATGGGACAGGAATTGCTCAAAGCCACTCCCAGACTCAAGGTCACTATAAGTATATTGAAGGATGAAGCATCATTTTGGAAAGGCTCCTGAAGTTCATTAACTAAAGGGTAGAGGGTTTGACATTTCTCTTCTACCAATTCAGTTTAGACTAAAGAGCATGTTGACTAAGCATTGTCTGCCACCAGGTGAAAAAACAGGCTTTCTTCTCACTCAAGGGAATAGGCTGGTCACAATTATTTTCCACCAAAGTGAAAGTGGGGTCAAAGGACAAATAAGCTTTTGCATTACCCTCTGCCTTCAATCTACTTGAACTGACCACATGGATGACCTGCTCAGCACATTTTAAACTGGCCACATCCTCTAGAAATGTTCTTGTCCTCCACCGCCTGTCAGCATTCACATCAGGATCACACTTCCAAGCCCTCTACAGGCTGCACTTGAGGTGATCGTATAACACTGACCTCCATGAGACTCTTGGTGATTTTTTTTTTTGTTGTTGTTGTTTTTGATCACCCATGTGTTACATTTGCATTAAGAGGAAGCAGAAAGGAAAAAGGGGGATATGGGTAAGGAAAAGAGTATTATCTGAGGAAGACTTTCATAAAATGCTTGGAAAAGTTCTCAAAACAGAGGGGAGTACAATCTCAGACACATAGCTGCCTGTTAGTAGCTAGGATTGTCCTGCTGGCAGAACTAGGAATTCCAACCTTAATGCCTGTGCCCTGTGGGGCCATGATGAATCTTTAAGATCAGTTTTCTCTTGAAATTTAAGTCCAAAGTCAGATGAAAATGTGCCCATTATTTTTATTTTATTTAGTTTTTCGGCAGACACAACATCTTTGTTTGTATGTGGTGCTGAGGATCGAACCCGGGCCGCATGCATGCCAGGCGAGCGCGCTACTGCTTGAGCCACATCCCCAGCCCTGTGCCCATTATTTTATAAATGAGAACCAAAGACCAGATGGAGAAAGGAGTGGAGCAAGTAGTTCACGTGCACATCACATTTTCAAAGCAACAAAGAATTTGTAAGATTGTAACAAAGCACATGTATCTCTTTTATTACACTCTGTTGTTCTAACATAGTCACAAGCAACTCAAGATGACAGAATGTGGTGCAGCATGAATAAGCATCGTGCATAGGTTATTGTAGGAGAGAGTAAGCTCCTCAACTGTGGAGATACCCAGTGAGCAACAGTCAATGGTGTGTGTGGGGTGCCACTGAATCGCCAGCAAACAGGAAAGCACTGTTGCTGGATCTCAGAACACACCACCTTTACACTTGCCCAACACTGTACTTCTGGGCTTCTTGCTTTCCCTAAGGTCCACAAACTTGATCATAAAACCGACTAAGGGAAAGCTAACACATTCTTACAATCAACTCGAATCAGAGTGTGCATTTTAGGTATTTCACTGAAAAATAAAAAGGTAAAGGAAAAAGGTGAAAAGAGAAAAACAACGGGTCACTTACTCTAAGAATCCAGGTTTATGTTTATGTTCTACATGAGGTCCAAACTGTATCTGAGCTTGGAATCCACCAAATTCACAGGCTTTTTCGAAGGACACAGGGTGGGAGCCGTTCAGGATATCATCCCGTGCCTGAAACAGAAAGGGCAGGAAAAGCCTCAGAGGCCTGGGTGAAGACAATTCTCCCCATGGACACATTCTTGCTCTGTGGAGCAAGGAAAGGTGCTGGACACACCCAGGACCCAGTGGATGGCAGACAGGAGCATAGCAGAATGAAGACAGAAGGAGCAACTAGTCTTTTCCCAGAGTGGCCAATATCTAGACAGCCAGGGCTTGGCAGATCAAAAGGAAAGCTTGTTGATGATCTAAAAGGTAGAAGTGATCATGACAAACAAAGGCAAAGGAAAACCCTGGTAAAAAGATCAGATTCACATAGGCTGAATCAGAAACACAATTTACTTTTTAAATGAACTTACATCATAAAGGTAGCAAAACCATAAGGAAGCAAAACCAATTCAACCCTTATCCTAAGGTAAATAGCAATACAACATAAGGAGAGAAGGAGATAGATGGACTCATGTGTGCAAACACATACATACTTCCCTGGACATTTGGGGAAGGACAAGTTCTCCATCCATTGCTATGTTGCTCTTCGTTTCTTCTGTCTTTCCTTTCTCAGTTACATGACCCCAGACCATCCTTAGATCTTTTGGCTATCACTGTGGACCTTGAACCTACAAGCATCTTCTCTCCGTCTTTCTATCTCCCTTGCTCCCAGTCTTTTTTATCTCTCAGTCTTCTTTCCCTGCCATTCCTTTCATCCACTAATGCAGAGGTCAGTAAACATTTTCTCTAAATGTCCAAATGGTAAACATTTAAGACCTTCAGGGCCTATGGTCTGTGTTGCAACTACTGAGCTCTGCCATCACAAGGATGGTCACAGAACATATGGAAAACATAAGGGGACTTACCAATATCTCACACTTTAAAAAAAAGGAGGTGTTTACTTCCCAATACAGGCAGAGGGTATGGCTGCAGGATACAACCCTTGCATTATTTCCATGGGCAGACAAGTAAATAAATAGGAGAGGAAGTCTGGGTGAGAAGAAAGTGGCAGAAATACAAAAGATGTTTTCCTTGAGCTGAAAGAAACCTTGGAGACAATCTAGTGCAAAGTCCTCATCTTACATGCTGGGGAAACTGCAACTCAAATGTGTTAAAAGACTTTTCTGAGTTAAAACAATTAGTTCATGATAAAGACATGAAAGGTTATCTGAAGGGCTAGCTATCAGTTACTGAGAAGTACTGATTTTTTGACTGATACTCTGGTGTTCTAAGGTGCTAATAGAGCTGTAGTATATTTGGAATGGTGAGCCAGTTAAAGGAACACAACTGTAGAGGACAATGCCCACTACATCCCAATCTGGTAAGCTGAAAAGAACCCAGAAAGGCATTCTTTGATCTTTGGTGGGGCCGTCATTTCCTTTCAACAGCTCACACCCAATACCAACCTGCACCACCACCAAACATGTGAGGAACCCAGAGCAACACCCTTGGAAAGCAGATACTGTAAGGCTGTGGGAGTCAGAGCCAGACTCCTGCTCCCCAGAGACCCAGCCGGGAGATTCCTAAAAGTTCACAGTCTCAGTATCTGAGCAGGAAATGCTGTACCTGGACATAAAGCAGGTTCAGCTGCACGGGGTCTCTCGAGTCTACATTCTGATCAGAGTAGAAGAACTTCCGCCTGAGCAGCAACGTCTCATTTTCATCCACTCCTTGTTCTCTGAATGTTCGGCTGTGATCCAGCCAATTTACTACAACACAAGACATAGGAAAGAACTGTGTTTATATTTCCTCTTAAGTGAAAGGAATTTACCATAACAGCAGTGCAACGAAGACATGGATTTCTATAATGCAGATAGTCATAGATACTTCTTACATTAAAATTGTGCTTTTTAACTTCACTAAATAATTTCACATCTACCATATGACTGATCAAAAGGCAAATGAGGGAGAAAATCCCCAGCCATTCCTAAAGTTAGGTTAAGCACTACAATCAATTTATAATATGTTTCTCCCCTGGGTGAGAATAAGGAAACAGTGTTCTGTGCTAAGAACTCAAGTCAGAATTTTCCTTTAAATCAAGAGTAGATGCTACAGTCTCATCTAGTGAAGGATTTCAAAGACACTGAATATAACAAGTTTACCTCTGACTCCAAGTGGAAAAGGAAGAAAATGAGTCATGGAGGGAAACCAGACTGCTAAAGGGTGGAGATGGCAGACACTACCCCCTACCACCCCCGACCAAGACCAGCTTGAATTTCTGTCAGAGAAACTTGTCTCCCATCTAGGTGCAAGAAATCAAACACTTCCCTAAGCACGTCCACAGCACTCTCCTTCATTCCTCTCTGAGCTTAACATACGTGGTGAGGGTGGGGATTTACAACCTGCCTCACTAAATTCTAAGCAACTTCAGCATTCGGAATGTGTCTGATAGACCTCACTTCCCCAGCACCTGGGAGAGTATTGTGCACACATTAAAAAATCCTTGGGATTTGTCTACTAAAATCTCTTGGAAAGAAGCATGTAACTGGGGGCTGGGGATGTGGCTCAAGCGGTAGCGCGCTTGCCTGGCATGCATGCGGCCCGGGTTCGATCCTCAGCACCACATACAAACAAAGATGTTGTGTCCGCCGAGAACTAAAAAATAAATATTAAAAAAAATTCTCTCTCTCTCTCTCTCTCTCTCTCCCACTCTTTCTTTAAAAAAAAAAAAAAGAAGCATGTAACTGAAAATCTAATGAGGCAGAAAGAAAAGGGAATAGAGAAAGTGTCAGAGGAAATGAAGGCCTCACCAAAGATCAATAAACATAATGACAGTGATTATGTCATCCCAGCACTGCGGCAAGAGCAAGAACAAGGAGGTCTGAAGGCCCAAGTGACCTGTGTGATGAATTAGGATGCTCTTGGTGGAGGGTGTGCAGCAGGACACACACAGCAGGTTTGCTGGGGCATGTGCGATTATATGCCAGCTTTCCATGGATTAACGAAGTGGCTGTGAAAATGATTTTCCTAAGATAAAATTTTATCACTGATTTTTAAACATTTAGGAAATAATGGATCTAAACAATACTCACAGAGGGCTGGTAACATGTTGGTAAAATGTCTCCCCCTCACCAAAAGACAATCAGAAACAACTTCATTAATACATACATGTACATAAACAAGCTTCCAGATTTAAGAGAGTAAAAGGGACACAGGGACATGTTGCATGACACCAGAGGTGTGCAGTCACCAAAATCCACAGTGTAGGAAATGCTATACAACTAACCAGGTTTCTTCACACACACACATACACACACACACACACACAAATTGCAAGAAAATAATTAAGAGATTGAGAGGGAACTTACTTCATTAAAACAGTTAAGTGGTACATCAGCCAACCTTATTTGGATCACAGTTAAAACTATTAATAAAGATTGAGAACGTAATGGAAAAAATACAAACACAATTTATATATTTGATATAATGAAATTTTTTTAGATGTGAAATGGTATTACGGTTTTTTTTTGTTTGTTTCTTTAGAAGTCTTCATCTTTAGTGACACAAGCCAAAATATTTACATATTATAAATCCCCCAAATCCTGCCTTGGGTCATGGGATGGTGGGAGAGAATGAGGCGTAGCAGAGCCTGGGTGTTGCTTGCTCCCCAAACACTTACAGTCATCGTCTGTGTGAAGCTTGGCCTTCAACTTCTCCATCTTCCTCTCATCTCGTAACAGCGTCCTATCTTTTTTAAGTGTACCCGTCCCTTCCTCTTTCTTTTCTTCAATGGTTTCTTGGATTAAAGAGTATTCTTCATAATTCGTTATTCCTAACAATAGAAATTAGGTTATAATTCTCAATGATTAAACTTCTGTCAATTCCTTCCATATAGGGCCTGAGATACTGTAGATAGTCTCTGTTGGCGGAGGACAGAAAGAGACTTTCCTCACATGTGGACCGGAAGCCACATATCAATGAAGGATCTTCAGCTGGTGAAGTCACATTGGAAATGCCAGGTGCAGTTCTCTAGACTGATATTTGAGAAACGAGAACAAAGTAGAGGCCATGCAGAGGATGATGACAAATAAGTGTGTGAAGGAATTGAGTATGCTTTCCATGAAGAGGAAACTAAAATCTACAAGGTGACTTTTCAAATATTCGAAGGGCTTCATGTGGAAGGGAGGCAGAGTTGTTCTCTGGGGAGACTAATAGAGGGTACAAGAAGAAAATCTATCTGAGAGTTGATTACACAGGCCATTGGCATGAGTATTCAAGAAGACCCTGGACACCAATGATGTTTGCATACAGTGCCAGCATCAGGTCAGGGTGAATACATCCTTAAAAAACTACTTTCCATGGAGAAATCTCTTTTTGTTTTCTGAGAGGGAAATAAAAGCCTTCAAATGTGACTTAGTGAGAAGTTCACGTTTGTAGTACCAGTTAGTGGAGTGGCAAATCAGAAGAATGTACACACTCTCTTGGGATTGGGCCTAATTTCATGTGTTAAGGCATTTTTAAAATTCCCTAGACATCAAATTAGAAGTGGAAAAGAAAGGAGGTGAATTATTAAAAACAAAGCAGAAACAGATATGAGTTGTGGGTGTGCTCACCTATCCTGCTGCAAATGGTGACCAGGAGCTCCCCCACCGTCTTGGAGTCATCCACCATCACTGTTTTCACAGACCCATCCAGCATCCGGATTTTCTGAGGCCTCTGTTTCTTTTTATACTCCAAAATATCCTAGACCACAAATCATTTCACAAGAGTCAGAAAACAGGTTACAACTTTGAACATTTTTCTTTAAAAAAAAAATGAGTGCCCAGTAGATGCTATTTCCTTATTCTTTCAAAATAATCCTTTGTTGTCCTGGGGTTACTAATGCTCTGCTATGACAGAATCTCCAGTGCAAATAGTTGTTCTGAGAAAGATTTCTTAAAAACCTGGTAGTGAAACTGTACCTCAAGAAGGAGTACCTGTAGCTCAATGACTGAAAACTACCCTCTTTAGAATAAATGTGACCTGTGTTCTGTGAAAGGTAAGAGTTGAATTAATGAGAATTAGCAGAGGGAAATACATGCAGCCCTTTTCAAAAGCTGGTAGTGAGGGGCTGGGGTTGTGGCTCAGTGGTAGAGCGCTTGCCTAGCATGTGTGAGGCACTGGGTTCAATTCTCAGCCCCACATATAAATAAATAAAATAAATTTCATCACCAACTAAAAAACTATTTTAAAAAAAGGTGATAGTGAGTATCTGCCATGAAAAAATTTTACTACCCATACATATAAAAATTATTTATAAAATTTTACTTGAAAACTATTTACTATATTTGAATTTTACATAATAAAGGACATAAGCAATATCCCCATAATTCTTCACAGGGCATATGACAGTAGGAGTGGTTTTCACAAGAGTGAAGTGACATATAATAATGGTAAAACCAAGCAGGGCTAGTAAGTTTTGGAGTTTTTGTTTCATTTGTTTGTTTGTTTGTTTTTAAGAGATCTCTTTCTTACTACTTAACAATAAACCTATGCAGGGGAAATTAATTAAAATTAATTAATCAAATATTTCACTCCGCTTTATGGCATGCTGGCCAATCTGATAGGTCCAATTCACACAAAGTACCAAAACCCCCAGTATCTTATTGGCTAAGTAGAACAGAATATTCAACATGTCTTTACTCACACCCTCACCCCCTTCCACTGAACAACTCCTTTGTTGTTACTATTACCAATGGTTATTAAATGTTCATCTCCAATTTGAAGTTTCTTTTTTTGGGTACCGGGGATAGAACTCAGGGGCACTCAACCACATCCCCAGTCCTGTTTTGTATTTTATTTAGAGACAGAGTCTCAATGAGTTGCTTAATTAGAAGTGGGAAAGAAAGGAGGGCCTTGTCCCCACTACCTTTAAACTAGGGAAAGAGATTGGCTTTGAACTCACGATCCTCCTGCCTCAGTCTCTGGAGCTACTGGGATTACAGGCATGCGCCACCACACCTGGCTAAAGTTTGTTTTTTTCAAAAACAAAATGGTAATTACTATTCCGTCTTACACTATCAGGATTACACTTTGTTCTCCCTCCCATCTAGGCCTCTGCTCCCAGCCCATCCAGGACTGCTTAACATCAACCCAACCTGTTTCAATCTCTCTGTGTAATTTCAAGAATCTGGATTACTGATATTTTCTTACCACCTGGACAATCTCAAAAGTACACTTCATGGAAACTATTAGCAAGACACCCATGAATCAAAAAAGTGTAATGATGTTGGCTTTCACCAAAGGCCCAGATACAAAGTGACAGGGAATCAAGTCAGTACCAGCTGCGTACCCCATTTCGCAACATGTAGTAATCCAGTGTTCTGCCTGCTTCCAGCCAAATCCCTTTCCTGGGGTCTTCATCCGAAAGAAACAGCCCATAGTCAGAAGCTGGAACATAAACAAAAAGAAAAAGTGGTGACCAAGTCTTCACTGGTTCCTAGGCCCAGAGCTGGTGGACTCGGCAAGGATGTGGGTGTTCTCTTTCACTAGAGAGACCTGTTCCCTTTTGACAACACATATAGACATGATACCTAAGCAGATCAGGAGGAAGAAGAGTTGAGTGACAGAAGCAATACTCCAAAATAAGGTTCATGTTTCCTAGGATCAGTGGGCTAGAATTGTCTGAAATTTAGGGAAACCTAAGAACAAAGCACTTCCAGTTTCCTTTTAAATACACTTGACTGTGTTCTCTAATCTTGATGTAAAAAATAAGGTCAAGAACCCATGGAGAAAGAGAAGAGAAACTGAGGAAGTGGCCCTCCAAGCCTGAGGCAAATGGGGGCAGATGGGCCTTCATGCCCTGAAAGATACCAACAGAGCATGCTAGAAAGGTTTGGCAGGAATTCCTTGTCCCCGCTACCATTAGACTAGGGGAAGAGTTGGAAAGTTAAACTCTGTGTTCTCTGTAGAAACTCCTTATTCCTCCCTAGGAAGTCCAAAGGGAGCAGGGGCAGCTTATTCTCCGGAAGACCTCTCTCTTTCTTTACATAATTAAGGAAACCTCAGAGACCCAGAAGAGCATCTGAGCTTCTTCTGTTCTCAGGAAAAGAACTTCCAGGTCTTTAACAGTTTATACCTTCACCAGACCTTATGGAAATCTGGCCCCCCAATTTTTTTAAAGATGTTTATTTATTTATTTTTAGTTGTAGTTGCACACAATAACTTTATGTATATGTGGTGCTGAGGATTGAACCCAGGGCCTCGCACGTGCTAGGCGAGCGCTCTACCACTAAGCCACAGCCCCAGCTCCCCAAAAAAGTTTTTTTAAAAATCTGAGAGAAAAGAACAAAAAAGGAACCAAAACATAAGCCATCAGAACTGACTGGTCATTCAGATCTTGGAGTAAGGTGTAAAGTGGGGCTGTCAGCAAACTTTTCTTTTTATTTCGGAGTACCCTAAAAACAGCACAGCATTTTGAATAACATCAGTAATACTTTCAGACCAAAGGATCAGAAATTTTGTGAAAACTGGATGTTCTCCAAAGGCCTGTTCTTACTTATCATCAACTCTGAATGCTACATTTGACTATTATCTTTCCAATTTTTTCTGGAAAATTTTACCTAATATCACACTAAAGGCATCTCCACTTAATGTGACCCTGATTTCTCAACTTTAGTCAAATAAACACCTAAATAAGGAAAGAGAATGTGGAGAAAATAAAATGGGAGAAGTAAAGTCAATTGAATCAAGGGTTTCTGCTTAAACTCAGATTAATGGGGGCAGTGGCTTACTCAAACACCAAACATAGTATATTACAACACACCCACTCAAAACACTCCCTTCAAAGGGCTTGTACTATAAGAGTTGCCCTGCGTTCTGATAGCAGAGAAAAGTGTTCCTGCACATGGAACAGGGCTCAGGATATAAATAACCAATATGTGTCAGGGCAGATTTGTTGTCCTTTATAGGGCAAATAAGATGATATATCAAAAAGTGGTTTGTAAACTTTAGAGCACCATGCTGACATGTGGGAGGGTCAAGATAAGAGGTATGGCCTTGCTGATGACTTGAGATGCACACTATCAATCACAAGCCTCACACAGGAAGCAAGGAGTATCCAGTCTAGGAAGACATTTCATTTACAACATACACACTAGGAGACACGTGCACACTCAGAGTATCTGTTCCTTCAGCTACAGAGTGAAGAACATAGATTTTCAGAAGCTAGTGAGTAACCCACGACCCACCTTGTCCTGTTTGTGCCTCTGGTACCCGTTCCCGAATGACTCGGCAGGCATCATACACAGCTGTAGATGGTTCAAACTGCATGGTCTTCACCACGTTGCAATGGCGGACGCAAATCTTTAAGGACAGGGCCACCATTTTCCCAGATGACTCGAAGGGTCTCACTTAGAACTTCTGGAAAACACAGAGAGGCAAGCCCTGATGCTCACAATTATAGGAAAAAATAAACAAACAAAAAACACCAAAGCAACAAAATACTGAACTCTCAAGTCAATTTTAAAATCCACCATCCAGATTAACCCTCTGTGAAGTCATTCTGACTGCTGTTTACATTCTGAGTGAATTTTATCTGCGAAAATATTTCTTATTTGAGGAATGTCAAGCCACTACTCCTTCATTAACAACAGCATTTACAAAGGATCTGCCCAAAATCGAATCAATTTTTTGTAGCCTGGGCAGTGGTAGGATTGCTGACATATTAAGAGAATTTCAAAATATCCAATAAGTTTACATTTGCAATATTAAGGACTATATAAGCCATATATAACATCTACACTTCACCCTTCTTTTTATAGGCATATTTAGCCAATTCTCTTCCCAATTTGGGGCAATGAAATTTAAACTCTAGAGATAAATGGACAAATTTTCTGTGTTGTAGATCACTCTATGGGTTGGTTTGTCCCCTGGGGTTGGTGACAATTGCAGGGTTTCCTGAACTGCTGAGATCTATAAGCATGGCTAGTTGTAACCCTCAGTGGGGAAGGCCACAGTCTTTGATGTCATGGATGCTGTTTATGGAATGCAGCAGAGAGGATGGGATGTCTAATCCCTTTCTTTCCCCAGGACAAGTATTATAAACGTTGTTGCATGAAGGCTACCTTTCTCATGCTGAAAATTGGGCTTTCACAAGAGCAAATGACTGCTCCCCTTCTAGCATTCAGGGAGAGATTCCCTTCTGAAAGGGAAGACTGAGCTATAATGTAGGCCTGGGAGCAGAAGGCAGAGTGGAATGGAACACTGGAGCCCTGGAGGAGGCGGAGGACACAGACAGAAGCAGTGAGCCCTGAAGGACACAGCAAGGCTCTGGGGTACAGTCACGAGGATCACAGGAGAGAAGCTCAGAGAGCTGGGAAGCAGATGGCTAGGAAAGCAGCAAAATAAGATAACATGATGGGGAAATTTGTCCAAATTGACTGGACAATGAAGGCTACTGGAGATACAGGAGGGAAGGGGTGGTTCTTGGGATGCATTCTATCAGGTGGAGTTATAACCCAGGTAGAAGACACTAGAAAAACTAGGGAGTGAGAGATGAGAATTGTGGACTGAGTCAGATAAGACGAGGAATGAGACAACAATTGAATCTGGCAACTCGGTGGTCTCTGGCAATGGTGATAAGAGGGCAGGGCCAGAATCTGAGCGCAGCAGTGGGTTCAGGAGATAGAGGCGAGGGGCAGGCTCTGTAGGAACAAACTCATCTCCTGAGCAGACTTACTGGGAAGGGGGCAGTGTAGGAGGTTCAATCTTATGCTTTTTGAGGCTTTTTATCTCAAAGTGCATATCAATTCCATTAGGAAGATACTCATGTAGACATAGTTTCCACCTTATTATAGTGATTGAGGTAGGGTAGCCAAAGGCTACTTCTCACCACACACTATCTCCACTCCGGGTCTGGCTCATGTTGCTAACTCTGGGTCTTTGGAGAGGAGGGGAGCTGGAAAATCTTGGTCCCTGGAAAAGGTGCTGGATAGGGAGATTGTGATCCAAGTTCAATCTCAAGTTGGCAATGCCTTGGACCTCCACACCCATCACTTCTCCTCTCTTGCCCTTCAGACAGCAGGAAGCAACCAGTTGTCATGGAAGGAGCTTCTTAACAAACTCAATGCTTAGCCATCTATTCTCATTGGATTTCCACATATCATCCTAACACTTCATGAGGGAGGACATAGAATGGAGGCAAGGTCATGGTAGATGGTCAACAGAATGAGGAGTACCTCATTAAGAAGTATATGTTCTCAACTTTCATATCACCCCAAAAAAAGTATAGCTCAAAACTATCACTATTACTACATGGGAACACATTATAAAAGAAAAAAATCAAAAAGCCAAACAAATTACTCTCAAAGGGCACTGCACACAGGTCTAAGAGTAAAAAACCCTAGTATCCAGCTCCTTGTTTTATTAAGTTTTCCCAAGCATGAAACAAGACCAAAATTTATTTCACAGAAATATTTTTAAAACAAAGAATATAAAGAAATGCTGATAAACTAAAACTTTTAAATAAAACAAAGCATTTTTATCATTATCTTGCAAGATGGTAACTCACGTAGCCAAACCTAGATGAGGTCTGAAGTCAATGTGTTGATTTAGTCACTATCTCACAAAACCTGTAGCACTGAGCTGTTTTTAGCACCATTCATGATAGAATAAGATTCTATTCAAATTGAATACCTGTTGGCATTAAGTACTTTGCTTTATCCTATGGCAAAAAGAGTAGCAACTTAGAAATGTCAACTTAAAATGAATATATGTTTCCAACATTTGTGAGAATGTGGCCAGAAGGCCACTCAGGTTCCAACATCCACTACACATCCTGAGCAAACAAGGCAGCTCAGACAACAGTCTTGATAAAGATGTGTGCTCCTTCTCCATTGTCACATTTTTCTGGGCAGCACAGCATTGTGACAGCTTGCAACTGACATTGGTTTTCACTTCTGTATCCTAAGCCCTCTGCTAATTCCTACTTCTCCAAGCTTTTTAATGGTGCAGACTTAGGAAGGCTGATCAGGTTTCCTTTTCTGGTTTAGTTACAAGGAAGCTCAGAGTCAAATTTGTGCGCAAGTGCTTGTAGTGGTGTTACCTTCTAATCCCTGCCTCTATTTTATGACCCTATTCTGGCTACTCCTTTTCCTTTTACCCTAATTTGAATGTATGTTTTCAGAATAAATCTTAAGACTTTTTCTTTTCTTTTACCTTTTGGTAAAAGACAGAATAAAAGTTTGTGAAATTCACATTATTTTTCCTTTCATAATCTCTTCTCACTCTGACCATTTTTGGGCCCTTGTTATATGTGTGAAGGTTACTCAGACCAATACAGAAACTGTTCTGTAGCATATGTTGGAGAAGATGAGCCAATGGAACCAATGGTGAAACCCAGACATCCTCCTTTTAAAATAAATACTTCTTACTCCCAGGGTGCTGTAAACAGCCCAGGAGGCCTCTTAGGTTCATCCCAGTCCACCGAGGGACAAACAAGCCCAGCTCCAGCCAAGGCCACCTCTTCTCCAAAACAAATGCCCATCATTGGTCAAGATGAGCAACCACCCCTTGGATTTCAGCCTGGTAAGTGAGGGCCATGCAATGCTCCCTGCCTTACCAGCTGCACAGCTCTGAGCTGGTTACTTCATTGGTTATCAGCTGCCTCAGTTTCCTCCTCATTAAAATGGGGGAGAATAATAGATCTACCTATAAGGTTGCTAGTGAATTAAATAAATTAAATTCATAAAAGGCATGAAGACAGTGCTAAGTTTAGGATTTGTTATTACTGATTGGGGATTGGAGAAACACTGGAAGCAGAATACTTCTGTATTCAGCTACATCTGAGCTGCAAAATTCATTTATTCTTTATCCTGCATCTATTATATTCTAGTAGATAACAGTCATTAGGGAGTCATGATAGACAAAACTCCTGTTCATATGGAGCCTTACCTTCTAGTCAGTCCTTGGTTCAATACACAGATTCTGTGCCATCTTTTATGCAAGACACATAACATGCCTTTTTCTAGATATAGTGCTAGCTGAGGATGAGCTGTGAACCTGAGTGTGCTTGCGGAGCAATTCTTAGGTTGTTGTCTTTGAAATCACTCAGATTCCCCCCAACCCAAGGGCTCAAGAGGAAAAAAATTCTACTAGCCACACAGCATGGCTGGCATCACAATCAGTTCCTACCCTATGGTTTGTCAATAAATTCCGCCCAGTGTTAACCTAAGGGAGGCACTCCTGGGGCTCTGCATACTCCTCTGTAAAGCAGAGGTGCTGGGTCACTTGGAAAGACTGGAGGGCCAGGTGACCTCATCTTAATGGGGCCTCTAATCTACAGGACAATAAGAGCTGGATACATCCCCATTCCCTCTCCACTATTACCCACTGGAAGGATATTGCACTTAATATATATCTGCTCTGGAGGTTTATATTGCCCTGTTTGATAACTACATGTATCACATAACCAAATATCCTCATAACAAAGAGGCCTTTATAAACCTATCCTTCAACTGTGTTTACATCTCAAGCTCCTATGAGCAATTCTAGTTTCTCAAAGCAGTGCCCAGCAAAGAGCTTTCCCTTCTCTCCAGCTCTTATCTGCTCCTCCGTAAGGGAGGAGTAGTTCCTCTAGCAGGTAAGAACCCACCATGCACTGGGTCATAGCTACACAAAGGGCCCGCAAAAGCCAAAGTTTTACCCTCTGTATTGCTCTCTAGGCTGTCAGGGCTCATATACTTGGCTACTCACCTTGAGCATTCAGACTCCATACACTTGTGCACACCAGGCACAGCCAGGGGTGTACCAACATCAGGAAAATAGGTCAAGTCAACTCTTCCCTGCAAGATGGCTGTCTTGTATTTAAGAAGGGACCAGCAGGCAGGCAGTTGGAGATCCCCTGTGGCCTCTTCTCCTGTCTAGCTCTGTCAAGGAGATGCATTTTCTATGAATTCTCAGGCTCTCCTTAACAACCTTGTCTTCCCTCCTACCTCAACAGTGCCCCTCCTACCCATTCTCAAATGGTGAGAACCCAGGGGGCAAAGCCTTAGTGGAGCAGCTCCCCTTATCCCCACATATACAATTTGTAAAGGCGCTAATTATAAGCTCAGGGAAAACAGCAATGCACACAAGTGACATGATTTTTCCATGTGACTCATATCCATGGTCCAAGACAATCATGCTCCCCTCCACAGCAAAATAAGGTGACGGAAAACCTCATTAGTTTTCTTCAAAGAGGCAAGAGAGGCCAGGACTACTATTTGACTTTGAATACTTCAACTTGAAGTAACCATCATTAAAAGTCAAGTGGAGAAGTAGCACAGGAGAAATGATTAGCTACCCAATGAGTGTGAACAACAGGCTAGGTAGGACCATATAAATCCCAGGTAGTGGTTGACCCTAAGTAACCCACAGGGCCA